TACTTTTATTTCAATTATAAAATAAGTCAAATTCTCTTAAAAAAAAATAATAAGAATTTTTTTCACCGGAGCTCAGAATGTTTACTGCATATAAAATGAGATAGAATATATTCGAGCGTTGTGCGGAAAAAAAGAGCAAGATACAGGTGCAAAAAGAGTTGCAAATAATACAAACAAGTTTTGTATTGCAGATCTCTCGAATGTTGGCGACATTGCTTGCTTCAATAGAATTTTTAAATTATTTCAAGCAAGCGTTCGTTTTTACATCCATCCACCAGTGAGATTATTTTTAAACAACAAAAAAATACATACACGAAAGGAAAAAAGACAAAGCTCTCATGCGACAAAGCACGTTGGAAGGAAAGACAGAAAAAATTATATATTTTTATTTAAACTTTAAACATTACAGAAACGTAATTCAAAAGGTAATTCGGTCAAAACCGTTAATTTGATCGGCTGTTATAGCAATATTATTTTTTAACACTAATAATGAAACAATCAATTAATTTGTTATGTTTATTTCTATCAATCCAGTCGAAAATAAAACTAAATTAAAGTAAATATGGATTATAATTTTGCATTCGATATAAATGTAATGCAAGACACAGTATATATTACATATTATATATAATATTTATACATATATTGTTGAGTGCAAAATTATTATAACATTGATATATTGTTAGTTAATGTTAGTTAATGTCGACTGGATTAATGTAGATTAATTTTAATTTTGGTTCAATTTACTCTTTATAATTTCTAATTCTTAAAACTTGAATTAGGAGATAAAAATGGTAAAGTTAAACTGCAGAATTAAAGTTAATCTACATTGATAGAAATGGGTATTAAAAAATCAAGTTCGAAATCGAAAAAAATGAGCTATACGGCATCATGTTAACAAATTAAAGTACTATCACAGATACTATATTGTACTATATTGATTTCATCTTGTACAAGTATATCTACGATATCACAAAGGATCGACGATGTCTTCTACAAATCTTCGTTTTTGCTTTAGATGATGAATAAATCTGATGTAATTGGAGATAATAACGGATATAACTAGCTAGAATAAAGTTTTTTATTACATTGTAACAGCATACACGATTTCTCCTGCATCGCAGGAGTTTTTTCCTTCTTTATTACTTCGACAATATCAAGGCGTTCCAATAGATCAGTTAGACGGCTATCATGTTGTCAAATTTAATTTAGTTATTTTTAAAAATTCATACCATCGTTTTACGGAAAGGTGTACAGAGCGTTCCCAATTCAATTCCTCCCAGCAATTATGTTCCAATAATTGTTTAAGAAAACTTATTAAATCAAAGATGTAAGTTATAAGAAGCCTCGCCTTCTCCTTCTAAGGAAGGTATTTTATGGTAAAAATTTCGTCTTAGATAGAACTATTTTTCAGATTTATTAGTAACTTTTATTATTTTTATTAAATCTCGCGAACGATTTTAATTATATGACAAAAATAATAACGAGGTTTCCTCCAAAATGACTCCAAGTAACTTTGATCTAATAATTTTCTTGAACAGTCACCAGACATAATCATATGAAGATATTAAAACATTATACTCCACATTTATGTATAGTCTTCAGTCCATTCTTCAATATGCACCTGTTTCCTATGCGACTGTTGACACGGTTCAATTTCATTATTATTATGGCCTCCAATTATCAGTTAGCGATAAGTTTCATTAAAAAAGTAAAATTGTGACTCGTTTTGATTTTATATCTGTTTCATCAAATTACTCTTCTAGATGGTGTTTCAGATGAGTTGACTGTTAGAAAAAAAGATTACAAAAACATTAGTTCATTGATTCGAATAAAAAGTTAAGAAAGCGTTATTAATCGTTGTCAATGATCCAACCGTGTATGTATACACTTGCTATAAAAAGATATGCGCATAGGTAACATATGCAATAGTGTTACACAAATATAAAATACATTATAGTAGTATGCAGGCTTAGAAGCAACGGCTTGTCTTTTATTCTCTTTGTACTTTCAGCAGCAGCAAATGCGTCAATTGCTCCGAATGTCTCTTAGTACTTATTGTGCTGAGACTAATTTTAGGCGAAAAGGCTCAAGTTACATGGTTTAGAAAAAACGTAAGTATTAAACGAAATATTTTCTGACATCACAAAAATATTTGATTAAAAGTATTTCGCATTCGATGGAAAACACTTTTGGAGTAAAAATAGACCTTAGAATAGGGTGTCGTTAAGAATATTGATATATGATAATATGATTAGGATAGTTTACGAGATTCGTGATTAAGAAACATAGTCGATCGTATTAAGATAGCAGCATCATTTTTCTTGGCATTTTTTCCGATTATTTTCTACGTTATGCGTTATTGCGCACGCGGTAACATATATAAATCTTTCGCGAGCATAAGTATATAAAATATTTAGAATTACGTGAATTTGTATCTCTTTTTGTCACGTCTCGCAATTTACGATTTACCACTGCGAACTTTAAGACCTTAAAATTAAATTTATTTAATTTTAAGATCGGATGGAAATAACATCTGATCTTAATTGCCGAAATCGTATCGTTTATAACTATACAAATTCCTTGCATTATATCTAGTTCTCGTTCGGCGCATTTTTAATTACTTCATTCTTATTGTTACGAGAGAGCCATGATTAAGCGAAACAAAATTTTTATCTTTCATTCATATAGACTTTCTTACAAATAGCAAAATGAACGAAATTAAAACGTACATTCTTGCTTGCTGTGAACGGAGATCTGTGTTAGATCCGAATTACTCCTTAATATTATTAATGTCACAGTTGAAACAAGCAAGTAAAGTCGTTTGTAGAAATTCATAGCACTAGTTTCGCCATATTTCAATTCAATAGGATATTTCAAATCCAATAGGTAACATTATATCTATCGATTATTTGCAATGTTACTAATAAACCATTAATCCAATTTCTGGAATGTAAATTACTAGTCCAATAGATTCTTATCAAATTTTTCTATTATCATTTCGTAAATAGTTCTATATTTCTGCTTGTGCTAAAAACTTTTAAAATTTGATTAGCAGCATTCTGTATAGCGTAATAAAAATCTCTGTTTTTCGTCCACGTTTACTTAATGGAATTCATATTTTTTGTAACGATTTTTGTTATTTGTTATTGTACAAAGCATGTTCATTCATCCTTATTTAAATTAAAATTTAACATTTATATGACTTCGGAAATATTTATAAAATTGTTCTATAATATCAACTTATTTTGTGAAAATGTCGCGTGTGAAAGGATTTAAGGAGAAAACAAAAAAATCTATATTACATCTCATACTTGTAATTTATGTGTAAATAAATAAATAAATAAATAAATTTATCTCTTTGAATCTAATGTTTCACAGCAAGAGTAAATAATTCATGGTGATATTAAATAATTATTTAATATCACGCACTGCCATAAATGAGATTGAAGAGGTTTAAGACTGATTTCTTACCTGATAAAGATCGTTTAAACTTTACACTGTCTCTTATAACAATAACAACAACAATAACAATGAATACAATAATTACAATAACTGCTATTTCTTATATTATTTCGTTTAAAAGACATTATTATTGATTTGCGTGTAAGGAACATAGATTACGGTGAAATTTGACATAAAATATGTCAAACGTATCCGCGGCGAATTCGATTCTTCAACGCCAAATAAAGAAGCATTGTAGATAAGCGAAAACATTGTCGAACGATTTAGACGCATATACACTATCAGTGTACTTCACTTAAATTAAATTAAGCGTTCAGAAGATCGTTACAAGATAGAGCGATAAGTTTTATCTTTGGGCCCTGAACCTAATATCTATGCTTAGCTTCGAGACTTTTGTCCTTTGATTACATGTTGCGAGCTAAGAAATGTAGCCAGTATGAACATTCGCGCATGTAACAAAATCTTAATAATACGTACTCATTTAAAGATCTTCTTATTAAAAATCTTTCTCATTAATTCGTATGCATTTTGTTATATTCCTGCTCTGCTTTAACTACAAGTATTTATATAGGTATTATATAATTATTAAAAAATTTTATTTCGCTATAATAAAAAGTTTATCCCTTAATTCTTATAATGCTATGTATGTGTTTTGAATTCAATAGAGATCTGTTTTTTTTTTTTAGCCGAACTCCTTATATAGCTCAGCTTTTCTTTTCCTCTGTAAAAATATGAAGAAAAAAAGAGATGAAAAATAATAAGAGATGAAATTTAATAACTTAAAAATAATAAGATTTAATAATAACTTAAAAATAATAAGATAAATTTAAAAAGAATAGACCTCATGTATATTAGTTTATGACATGCGTCTGGTTACGAATTGTAAAAAAAAAGCAGCATACACAGCAGTCATCTAACATAACATCGTACAATTCTTAGCTCCAAGTTTTAAAAATGAAATCAATATTCTTATAGAATCCATATAGAAGAATCCAAGATCGAAAGCCAGATTGCCAATTTTACAGAAATGAATAAATAGAGAAATGTCCAAATTATCAAAATAAAAGCAAGTAAATATTTTGATAAAGTCACTTTTTTATGAGATGTCAGAAAAACTTATCCTAATTTAAAAAATGTGTTTTTATAAATATATATTATGAAAACTTGAAATTGACAATTTGGCTAATTTCAATCAATATATCTATATATGCAAATGAATTTTGATTAACCTCATATTTTATAATATTTTAGAAGGTTCAGGGAGGTCAGTTTTGTTTTACAAAAGAGATGATTGGAGCACTTATATATATATATCGATGAACGATATCGTCGCGTTCTAATAATTAAAAAAAAATTTTGTTTATAAACGTTTGACAGTATTTTTCATATTTTGCATGTGAAAAAAATTCGATTAATAAGTCGATAATTTTCAAATATTTTTATATAACTAATAATCGGATTATATATATATAAATATAATGCACATATACGCACGTATATGCATAGATCATATATATACAAATATATATGCGCATATCTCTATCATGTGTTATCATACACATTTTTCATGTTTACTTTTATTCGTTTAACGACACATTAGAAAAATGTAATCGTGTATTTTAAAAAAATATGAGGTATTTTAGCTTATTATTACGTCTCGTATCTGGCCTTTAATATCACGGTGGTTTTTCTCAAATTGCTCTCTTGTACATTATGTTAAAATAAGTTTGTGCAAAAATTGATACGCGATGATTGTGCGATACATAAAGAAGTTATCGACATGGTGTTGACAGATTTGTCAGATTGTAATTTCGTAAGCGTGATTCTGAAATTTATACTTATTCCTTATTTGTCATACATATATATACATATATTATTGCGCGTACGTATTAAAAACGTGTAAACTTTAAAAGCATATCGAATAATGCTATTTATCCTTATGCACTCTATCTGTCTTCACAAAAGGCCTCGTATCGTAGTACGAAAAGAAAAAAGTATAATATGTATACATACTCGATATGTATACATATCTCTTCAAACAATTGAAGATTCCATGTATACAAGCTTTTTTTTTACTATTGCCCATACAAATCTTTCACTTAATCTCTACTTAGTTCGATGTTTGTGTTTTTTTGTATTTCCGTTACGTTTGGCCGTACGTTAAATATCTCGATCATATAGTAAAATATACAGTAAGGAAAGTAGGACGATTATTAATTCTCAAGAACGTTTTTGCGCCCATTTCAGATCGTCAGCTCTAGGTTTGCAACCGGTGGACCACTCGATTATCATCTCCAAAATATACCAAAATTGAAGTTTTTCTAAAGGCCAGTTCAGCCATCCCGTAGTGATGCAAAAGTAAGTCTCGTGGGGTGCGACGTGGTGTACGCGGTGATGCTTCCTCGGTAGGATAATCCTGAGCTCTTGAAGCCATATAACCCAGCCAGGTAATCCGAAATACGTATGCGACCACTTATGTATCTGTAAAATACATTATCCTTTAATTGGTAATATACAAAACATTTCTAATATTGTATAAGTAGTGTATTTAATTATAACATTAGAGCACATTATTAATACTCTAAAAGATAATTTTACTAAAATTGAAATATCCGTATATTTTTCTAATATTCCTCTAATTTACCTGATTAGTCATTGCTACAAAGATGGCAAGCAGGAACCAATAACACGTCCACACGAATCGTTGTTGCATTTCCATTTCAGACAACGTTAGAAAGTCCCACGTGAGCTTAGACAGGACTGGTATCGCGACCATAAAATTATCGCCATTAGTTTCTATGAAATCGTGTCTCGTTATACTGGTAGGATCTATGTGATGCTCGCGAAATGGTCGTAGGAAATTCTGAAAAGAAAAAAAAGCTCTTCAAATTAAATTCATGATTTATTTTGAAATATTCATTCATTTCTACATTTTCGATACTTTACCTTCCCCAGGATTGGAAGTTCAACGGATCCCCAGGTATCAGCGGCCCAATGAACTAAACCGGAGCCAAAGTCGGCGGTGATGATACCGCACAATGCAGCTATTGCTATGGAACTCAAATTTTCTAGTCGTAATTTGATGAGCACGAATACAGAGTTCACAGCTATCAGAGTGATACAGATTCCTACACAGATACACTCTTGTGTTCTCTTTCCTGAAAGTATGTTATCAATATATTTTGTTGTTTTAAATACATAATATAAATACTTTTAATAATAATATACAGGATATCTCATAACTACCGCATTTCTTTTTAATAGTGGAATTATATAAGGTGAACCATTGTGCATAATGGCGGAGTTCGATCAATCAAAATTATACTAATTTGCAGTGTACTTATTTGCAGAATGAATCATGTGAATTTCTGCAAATAAACTCAAAAATTGATTGGTTGGCAGATCTCCCCACTACTTTCAACCCATTGCGCATCTGTGTGAATGGTTCACGTTACTTCTTACAACATGCAAAGATATCCTTAAAAGGAAATGCAGCAGTTGTGAGACATCCTGTATAAGTAATAACATATATAAATATTTTTAATATTAATAAGCAAAAAATCTAAAGTTTTTAAAAATCACTTGGATCGTTATGCTAAAATAAAAAAAAAACGCGTCTATCATATTACACATTCGCTTCTTTTAAATAAAATATACATTTAAATTCTTGGATACGTTAATGAATATCTTCTCTCTTTTTTTTTACGAAGCAAAAATGTTCAAGGTGTATATACTGTACGTTCTTAATAACTCATAAATTTTAAGGACAGTGACGTTTTATCATCGCTATGCAAATGCTTTCACAGATAAAAAACAAGAACAGTCGATCTTAAATGATTGGTACAAAGAGATTCTATGTACCGGTGCTATATAGATTCGCGAGCTCTTGGGCGCCTTTGTGATTCGGACCCCATCTGGGTACAGTTCTGTCTTCCTGCGAGGTCGGTACTACTGAGTTTGCATTAGGATCATCCTCGAGCATCGAATTTTCATAGATCTGCCGCTCGGTCTTCACCGGCGCCAGGAAATTGGTCGCCATAGAACATGCGGCCGATGCGGCCTGTCCTAAGTTCGGCACTTTTATATCCTCCATGTTCTCTAGTCGAAAAATTCTTATGCGAATCTACGTGAACGAACAATAATGTTCTAGCATATTCCTTCAGAACTCGAGAGCATTTCGCAGAATTCGCTTGTTTTTCGACATTAGGAGATATTACCATTCGTGGAACATGAAGGCAATAGGATTTTTGTTTATTAAATATACAAAGTTAAATTATTTTGGGACGATCGTCACATTATGCACCTCCTTCGGTGTCCTCTCCTCGGCATATGAATTATTCGCTCCAATTCGTGCGATGAAATGAATTGTCAATCCGCGCATTATCCTGAGAAAGTTTAGAATCATTCATCCATGTAAATCTTCACTAGTTCAGATCTTCTGTATTTTTCAGGTATATCGGACGTTGCGGCAAATACCTGCAATTAAATGACAAATTCCATTTTTGATATGCAGTCTCAGTCAAGATGACATCATCTCTCGACTTTATCATAATAATCAAGCATTACTCGAGTTTGTACAGAGATCTGATATCTCGATTGCTTTTTTCAGGGAATGTCGAAAATGGAATGGAAAAAAAACCTCGAAGTTCCTTCAAAGGAACAATTAACTCGAAATTAATCGAAAAATCAAGAATCTGCGGTTCAAGAGAAACAATGTAGAGGTTTCGCGCTTATACCTGTTTTCACTAGTATAATTTTAATCTCGTTTTAAGAATCAAAAAAATATAAAAAATAGATTGAACCTAGATTAAAGTTAATCTACGTTGGTGGAAATAGACATTAGCGAGGAGTACTTTACACATATATGTCCACGCAACGTCGACACAACTGATATTATCTAAATTGATATTATCCGTTCATACATCATTCGTACGCAATTACCGTCAAATATACATGACTACGTACATGCATTTTGTATGCGATTATCAGTCATTTACATATCGTAATTGCGCCATGTAATATCGTAATGAATGAAACAAGTCGCATGCCGAAATACGCAAAATTCTATTCAATTTCGAATTAGTCACTACACGATATAAAATAGGTTAATTCCGCACTTACACGGAACCATGGAACATTATGTCTTCATATCTTCGCGAGTATCGCGTGAGTGTTCTCAGATTCACGCGACATCCATAACGACATTCACGAGCTTCCTACGCTACATTAAAATGCTCGCGCGTATTCTTGTATGTTTTAGCAATCCTCGAGCGTGAAACTAAAAAGTATCTATTTGTACGTGTTAATGCGTTTACGTGAGAGTCCACGCAAGAACATAAGAACATATATTTATAACGATTCTTAATGATGCTCACGCATTTATGAAGTTTTTAATCGTAATGCGAAAAATTCAGAAATTCCGAAAATTGATTATTCTAATTTTATAAATACACGTATATCTTTTATATATAATTATTACCAAATACTTTCCTTAAAACACAGATTTTTTAACAAATTTTGAATTAATTTTTTAAACAAACATCTTGAAGTATCCGTATTTTTCAAGTTAACTATATATTGTGAAAATATATAAAAAAACTTTTTCAATTTATTTTAAGTAGATTTTATTTCGGTAGAAGGAATTTCAATCTAAACAATTTTATCACAAAAATATGTAATATTGGAAATTTGAAAACTATATAATTATGAAATAAATAAGGATCTCCAGTGTTTTCGCCAAAGGAAAACTTGGAGTCAATAAAAAATATGCAGTTTACGGGAAATGTATTCAGTAAAAAGTATTCTATACATATTTTCATATATATATATATATATTTTTTTATATATATATATTTTTTTTTTTTTGCAGGTAGAATAATGGACCAAAATCGTTCGGTAAAACGACTAATGATGAAAGAAAGGACGATATTATAGCGCAAGAAAAGGAAAGATTTCTTATTGCAAATTTCTCTGCAAGGGCTCGAAGGATTTGAAGCTCTTAGAAAGTCGAGCATCGTGCCCCGCAGGTGCAAATTGCCGCTTAAATTGATTTTCGAAATAGGCTGGCTTTTTAATATGCCGTCGTCCAGTGAGACATCGCGTGCTGGTAATTAAACCGAAGGCGAAGGGTTAAAGGTTCTCACACAACAACATAACCGATCAATTTCTACGCCACTACGAGCGTATCGTGTACGTCATCATTCGCACGCGAAATTCACATCCTCGCGCTATATAGACGCTCTCCGGCTTTGTGACTCGCTTTTGATGCTTAGCTTATCGCGGTTGCCTTGGATAGAGCGTGTCGATTTGCGGCGACACGCGTGTTATTAAATTAGAAAATCTTTACGTTTTTTTCTTTTAAAATCACGTTTATATTACACATTTCCTTCAATAACATGTAAATCTTGTTCGATACTGAACGCTAATAATCCTCGTCTAACATGTCTTGATAGAAAAAAATGATTTTACATTTGATAAAAAAAAATGCATATCTTCGAAGAAAAAAGAAACTATTAAGTCCAAGTTTTATATAGCTCTTTTGTGCAATAATATGTAATCTCATATAATTAGTGACCAATAACTTAGCTAATGCGAGGTTTATCAAATAAATACAACGAAGGATTGTAAACGTCGTTGACGTAACAGATTCTATGCTACCGATTCATGTACAGCTGCAAAAATGAGATTAAAGGCAACGAAGATGAGACGGTGAAGTGATCTCGTTTGAGCGCGCAAGTCATAATCTCCATCACATTGTATGTATATGATACATATATATGTATATGATATATATATTTTTTTTCTACAGTTCAAAGGTTCGTATGCATTTAACTCGCACACCACTTGCAGGGAAACGTTCGAAGTATCGCCACGTGATGGCTGATGGTATACACATAGGACTCGAGCAGGAGGATCACGTTCTCATCTTGTTAGGATTCCAACATGAATACGCACGCTCGCGCGCGCGCGCGCGTGCATACACGTGTACACACGCCTTCACGCCTTTGCGACATTCTCCCGCGATGGGTAAGTGCGTGCATTCATATACGCATACGCAATGAGTCACAACAGTGTTTGTACTCCCATCCAGTCTGTCTGATCCCATCTATTGTAGCTGCTTGACTTGTGACTTCAAGCAATTGATGTCTTCGCAGAAGACAAAATTGTTATATGTAATACTAATTAAGATTTCGTATGATATATATCTTAATAAAATCTAAAAAATAGAAATAAGAGCTTTATAGCAGAACAA